CAGGGAGTGTTTGTGAGATGATTACAAAAAGAGAAAAGCAGAAAAAAAAACCTTTCTGCTGCACAGGTTTTACTCTTGTATTTGCTTTTTGGCTAAATTTACTTCTTCAGGGCTGAAATCATTTAAATAAAATGCAAAAATGCTGAAGGACACAAGTGAGAGACTGGGGGTCACAAGTAAACATCACTGCAGTTAGGTGTCACACTGGTTTAGTGTACTGTATGGCAGTTGTAGCTTGTAGTTCTTAAGAATGGTTCACCCACGCACATACATACACGCCTTATGGCCTGTTTTAAGTTAATCCACTTGCTGAAGTCACGCCCTATTTCTCTGAAATAGAGATATGAAGAAATATGGCACCAGTGGGTGTTAGAGGGGATGATGTATTGGCCAGTATCCAGTCTCCATCTGCAGGGCTAGAAATTATTGAAGGTCATACTGCTGGAAGACTATAAAAAATAAAAGAAAAAAACATTGTTTGGTGATTGTGAGGCCAGGGGTTCAAATCCTGAGTGTTTTTCCTTTCCTTGGGCTCTTTGTGTTTTTCTCTTCCACCTCCAACATGATTACTGAGTACTGTTTCACTGTAAGTCACTCTTGATCATTTTCAACTGCCAAATACTGTAAATGTGCATACAGTCATATTTGACCTATAATCCTATAAAATATGACTACTTTTACTGTCAAGGCCAAACAAGAGCCAGTCACATGGACTAAAGTTGAGAAACCGCCAGAAGTCTCCGCTCGATGTGCACCGGTTGGTCAACCTGACAACAATCAGTAATGAAGAATGGTCATGTGTTAAACGTCAACAACCTTTTAGCAGCACTTGCTACTGTGTTTACTGTGGTCTGCCACCAGGGAGCACTGTCATTATGTAAAATGGCAAAAAAAAAACCAATCACTTTTATTGTACTATATTAACAAATATTAAGGGATTATTGGATATATGGTTAGATTTTCTTGATTCAGGTTTGTGATTTATAAATTGTATCAACCAAAGAATACTATTGCATAAGCTAACAGTATTATGTCAGTTAGTAATAAAAATAACTTGTGTCACTGCCCCACTGTTGGCCCCCACCAGAAGAGTCTTACCCTTCTACAGCACAGGAATGCTGAAAGATTACTCTTGATCCCATAATAATATATCCAAACAAACCACTGTCAGTCCCAGGCTGGGTTTCCTCAGGACATGCCCATTCTATTATATCTAGCTTACTTCCCTGCAGAGTAAGGTAAAAAAAAAAAAAAAAACCTACCCTCACTTTGTCTCACATGTCTCTCAGCAGTAGATCATGTGCTTTCTAAAGGCTGACCAACATTGTAAGCTTTGTTGCCAAAATATACTGTAGGCTCCCTATCAGAATCAACATCAAGATTGAGGTGTGTTATGCAACCACAGGACAGGCGCTTGACACCATAGATTGAAAATTCAAAAGTCAACACTGTGGTATTGTTTTGTTATCGGCATATGTTCCAAAGCAAAGTGAATGAATTATTGATGTAGTTCACATTTTCTGATTATCAGAGCTTCAAATACAACCAGGAAAATTTTAATGTATTTCTCCTCATAGCCATTATAATTACTCTAAGGCCTTACTCTTCTCTGATGTGAAAAGAGCATTTGAACTATTCTTTTCTTTTAGTTTTTTTAAACAGCATGTTCAATTTCAAAGGATTAGAATTAAAGACACCTACTGTATGTCAACAAATATTCAAGAAGGGGGTCAGGTTTGGGTCACATCACTCCCACGCTGTTGAGAGTTGAGTAACAATTGTATGAGATTGGTTAAGAAAGCTACATGCTCACTAGCACGTTAACAGGTTCCAATAAGATCTTGAATACTAAGAATTAGTTCAACCTCTCTCTAATTCATCGCTTCATGAAAGTTGTGCATACATTGAAACACCACTTTATATGTGTCAACTCTTTGTGTAAAATCACTTGACTATATTAAAACTGTATGTATTACATATCCTAACATCCAAACTTTCTTTAAAAACCAAAATATTGAAGCATCAAAAAGCATTTGAACAAGAGAAGAAATAAATGTGTTTGGGTGGGTTAGCTGACTTAAATGAATAAAAAGGGACATTTTAAAACACTGCTTTGCTCAAAACGAAGCCTTTTTACATTTACTTATATATTTCGGGGAAGAAGATATTGTCTAGTAAGCAAGGACAGAAATAAATTGAAATAATATTATTATTATAAATAAAAAGCTTGAAATAGCTAGCCTAGAGAAAAAACATTTTTAAGTCTCGCAGGCTATGGCTATTAGTTGGACCAGAGACATGTTGAAATAGATTAAAGGCCTCAGTAATATCTAAAAACTTAACTGCAGTACAATGTGAGCTGTCATCTATATGTAGGTTAAAACCAGGATCATATATTTTAAAATAACTGAAAATCCCGATTTGCTATGGAGGGTTGAAGTATGTCAACACAAAAAACTGGAGTGACCCTAGTAATTCCAAGAATCATCACTTCAAAGCGTAAGAAGTCATTGACAGTAATAGGGCTGCATTTGTGCTCATTTTTAACAGCAAGGCCTCCACTCACTCTCGTACTCATTCACACTCGTACTTTGGAGGCATAGTTCACTCAGGTAGATATATAGTCAAGTGTATGTCAAAAATAAAAGGATATGGGATTGTAATGGATACGTCAAAGGAGGGTTTAATTTGGAAATCTTCAGGTTTTGGTGGTTACCAGTCCTTGTCTTTCCTCGCTAGCCTAATGTCCGCTACAGCCGGTCCACACGGGGGAGCCAGTGAGTCTAAAAGTCTGTGCAGGGCAGATTGTAGCAGACAGAAGAAGTTGTAATTTGTGGCCAGTGTTGCAGTCAGATATGTGGGTGAGGTGTACATTTACTTTTTAGTGGTATTAAAAACAGAAAAATATAAAATGCAAGTGCCCAGGCCGTTTTGATGAAGGCCATCCCTCCCAAAGAATGACTGGCAGTTCCAGAAGAGAGAGAGAGAAAATCATTGATAAATTTGTCATTTAATGAGCAGGTAGACTACAGCTAAGTTAAAATCCTGCTAAATCATTCGACACCCCTTTGAAGGAGGGGAAGACACGTGTTTGCCAGTTTGACACTTCTCTAACCTTACTGCACCAGATGGTTTGGGTCGGGAAAGTAGTTTTTGGAAACTGTTTGGAAAAGGCCAGGCACTTTCTAAAAATAGTCAGCAGGTGATTAGATCTATCATGTCTATCATGGCAAACTCCAACCAATCTGATCAACAGACCATTTAACATAGTCAAACGCTTACCAAAGCCAGTTCTTTGCGCTTCTTTCAATGAAGGAATACTCTCCATTTCTGCTATGACTGACACATGTAACTATAATTGCAATAACTGAGCTTTAATAATGGAAAATGGAAACTAGAGTATATGCTCAGCGTTGAAAGTTTTACACAAAGTTTTGTGTGTTAGTCAATTTATAATACATAATATAATATAGTATATTGATATTGATATATATGTATATTGATGATAGATATTTTGAGACTGAAATAAGTCAATGGAGTAAATGATGAAGGAAATGTGATGATCTGAAACTGATCTAGCATGTATTTTATACATTAAGTGTAAGAAAAAGAGAGGAAGTAAATGAGCTTGGGTAAATGAATTGACTGAAAGAAAAAAAAAGAAATCAAGTGGTAGAGTCATTAGTCATTACTATCCTATCTTGCAAATACTATAGTCATCTAACAGAGTCTCATGGTTTTAGTCAGTTTTACTAATACTAATATTCTATTTGTATAAATGTGGTTTTATTCGTGAGTTGGCTGATATAAAAAAGGGAACTTTAAAATTTTAGTGGAAAGCACCAAAAATGAGGAGGGGCAAGATATATTGCTTCTTCACTAGAAATAGAATTAGTTCATCAACCATTTTTTTGTCTTGCAGAAACTGTAATCATCAAATATAGAATGTCCAAATAAGGACAAAAATAAGGCGGATATACAATTTAGAGAAGTAGTCAGACCCAAATGTATTCCTGCTATAAGAGACACTGCATTTCCCTGTCTTGGGGAAGAAGATATTCTCTCATACGCTGGGAAAGAAAATAAATATTGAAAGAAAATGAGGACTGCCGCCCAAAATAGCTGGTTGGACAACTTTTTTATTTCATTTTATTGTGAACTACTAGTTTTAACTACTCAAACATGAAGAGTTAATTTATGTTGTGTGTGTATATATGTATATACATTTATGTGTTGCACTCTCTTGTAATGCCACAATAACTTTGGTGGCACAGTTGAACTGAATGCTGTTTCACTGACAGTTAAACACATGGATGGCTGGATTTATCAACAATTGACAGATGAAGGTAGCATATTTGAATATGGATGTTAGATATGATACAGGCTTTCGGAGAAAAATTGTAATTAACGGCTACTTCTTTCTTAGCCACTGCTGTTGTGCCCTTGCCCCTTAATTTCCAAGCATCTATATATTAATCCTACAAACTTGTAATGATGCTTGATGTCTTGCATTGCAATTGGATGAAATACATAATTTTGTAAGAATCTGAAACATGAATTTGTTAAACTGGAGCACTCTGCTTTTGGGCCAGGAAACCTGTAGAGAGTATGGAGAATGAGAATCCGACAGAAATTAAATCAACCATAAACAATTTTTTTGCAACAACTGCTGGTTGAAAAGTTCAAATGTTTTCCAGACATTTACCTTATGTATGACCCTTTTAAAGCATATGCGAGCTTGTCATATGCACTTTAATATTACATGAGGGCTGCTCTGAGTTTCTGAACTGGAGTACCAGATAAGACTTACCATGGGCGTACAGTTATAAAGTAACTTATTAAGTCTGCTCGGTTGTGTTTGGCTTAAATCCGTTTTCCATATTGTATATGCAAATGACTCTGTGTGTTCCAGCCATACATGGAATGGCTATTGTGGTAGGATGTCATATTAGAGGCACCAGTACCCTCAGAATTCCGTGTTTACTGTTTCCACTGTACAGACAGGCTGCACCTGTTCAGGGTCACACCTCCTATTCACGCTACCAGCGACTACTAGACGATAGCTACAGCATGGTAAGTCTTACCCTAACACATACAATATTTAGGTTGTGCTCTGAATCTAAAATTAGTTTCAACTGTTATTGAAAATTGTTCTTAAAGTTCACTGTTCCAAGGTCATACGATATTGCTTCTATCGTTACTCACCCATTTATTTCTTCTCTCCTCAATCCCCCCCTCCTTCCCTCCCTTACTCTTCCTTCTTTTGTCTTCTGTTTTCTCCTTTTCTGTTGTCTGCCCACCTCTCCTTCTATCTTCTTAGGTGCAAAATTGTACGGAGATAGATGATGTGCTACAGAAGTACTATCTGTCACCATCTTATGGCATTGAGTTCTGCATTGGTTTCCCCGGCAACCTTTTGGTTGTACTTGGTTACATATTTTGTTTGCCGAAGTGGCAGAGCTGCAATATTTACCTCTTCAACCTGGCAGTCTCCGACCTTATTTTCCTCTGCACACTGCCACGCCTCTCATACCTCTATGCAAATGACCAATCAGAGACCAATCCCTTTGCATGCGTTATCAACCGCTATATTCTGCATGTCAATCTTTACTCTTCCATCCTCTTCATGGTTTGGCTTAGCATGGACCGCTTCCTGCTCATAAGACATCCAACAAGGAACCACTACCTGCTGAGGCCACGGACAGCCCTGATCGTGACGGGGCTAAGCTGGCTAGCCGTCAATGTGGAAGTCGCTCCAATGATAGCACTGATGGTCCACGACCTGCAGGGCACAAACTGGAGCCTCTGCAATGATTTTGCCAGCCTAGAAGGAGAAATCAATAACTTCGGCTACAGCCTGGGACTAACGTTTACTGGTTACATTCTCCCTCTGCTCGGACTTTGTGGTTTCTCTCACCAAATTGCACATCTGCTCCGCGTCCAGGAAAGGGCTTTACAGCGCAGGACATCATTCAAGCGGCCGCTCAGGGTTGTTGCATCAGCTGCAGCCATGTTTCTTTTTCTCTACACTCCCTACCATGTGCTTAGAAATGTCAGCATAGCTTCTATGCAGCGCTGGGCAGGGCTGCCATTGTGTACAAAGATGTACATTAAGGGCCTGTACATCTTGACCCGACCGGTGGCCTTCTTGCACAGCGTCATCAACCCTGTGTTTTACTTCCTCATGGGTGACAAGTTCAGAGAGCTCGTATTTGCTAAACTCAGAACGCTCGTCAGAAAGACAGAGCAGCAAAGCACACCAGCCTGACAAAATCCAACACAAAATCCCTGTATATACACAAAAAGCACATCCATACATGTGAATTCTTACATATTGTATTTTGTTAAAAGTTTTGTTGAAGTTATGCCTTTTATTTATTTCCATTGTGTTTTTAATTGTTTATTAATGTCACTGGGTTTGTATTTTATTGGAGATGCCTTTATCCATTAATTTATAATTGGCAGGGAGGAAAGGTCATCGGGTCATTCATAAATATATTGTGAAACTGTGTATTAATGGTGTTTGTTGTAGTGACCATATCCACTCACATATTACATGATTATAAGTTAAAGGAAATCCATAAAGTGTAACTGAGGCAAGGTTACATTTCATGTGGACAAAGTAAAATAACGGAAATATTCTTGATACATTACATACCAAAACCTGTTGTTATTTTTATATTTATGCTCTGTTTAAGCATACGTATATATATATATATATATATATATTGCTGTTTGTTGTATTTGTTGAAAAAGCACATTTCTTTTGATTAAACTGGAGATGCATGTTCTGACATTGTTACTATTATTTTTGTGGTGTTGTGCATTAGAGTGAATATGCTACTTTTACCTTTTAATTTAATAAAATATAACAAAACTATGAATGATTGTCTTCTACATATAAGCTATTGAAATCATAAAGAATTTGTGAGAAAATATATGTATTTTGAAAGAGATTAATTTAGGCATCGACCAGTGTCTCTTATTAGTATTTGTACAAATTTGTCATAATTATTGCCTCACCCCAATCTCTGCTTAGCTGAACTAGATGTTTGCTTGCAGGGACTGACAAAATATCAACATCTACATTTTACAATTACATAATAATCCATTCCATGTAGCTGGCTGACTGAACTCACTCTTCAACTCACTATCAATAATCGTATTTCAATCAGGAGAAAACGTAATTTTTTGAATTAACAAATATACTTAATTGATATGTGCACAATGAAGATGAGAAATGTGAAAAGGCTTAGGCATCTAGACCCCATTGTAATGTCATCATATTTGAAGGGGTTGGTGAAGCTGTTTTTAGCATAGGAAACTTGAATGTGTACTGTGCTATTTCCTGAATAGCGTCAGAGCTTTTTTTTGCAGACACAGTAGAGAACAGAAGGGTTTAGATTTGGCTGATGTGTAAGAATATATTATCACTTAGCAGTCAGTGTGTACCATCTGTTTTATTTGTGTGTATGTATGTATTTGCATATGTGCATATGTTGTGATTGGTAGCCAAGAGACACTCACTCCAAGTTCCTAAACATACAAATATAAACTCCACCACCACCATTACAATAGTACATAATTTCTTCCTTTGTTGTTGTTTATGATTTATTGAAACCCACTAATATATCCTAATAACATTCTAATGTATATTCTGTTGGAATCATCTGGAAATCTCAGTTCTCACAAAAGCCTCCTTCATATTGGCCTCTCAGTGACCTTTGGTGCTTACTTAGGCCCTGAATTGCCATTGAACACACTTCACTTCATGGGGCTTTAATACAACAGACAGGATCTGGTGCTTTCTTTCACTCATGACTAATCCCACCATGCTTGATCCGTCATTTCATTTATATTGGCATCTCTCCTGGAAAGAGCAAAGAAAAGAAGCAAGGATGAAAACTCGGCTGTGTTCTGTTTGTGCGTTTCAAGTTTCATAATAAAAGCCAGAAGAGTGGTTGAGACAGCCTATGAGAAAAGGCAGCAGAAAAGTACATGTGAGGATAAATAGAAAACCTGAAGCTCTATATTGTAAATAATGTGATCTCTTAATGTAATAATACTTTGGGAAGATAATTCAATATTGAAATTCAGACAACTGTGGCCACAGAGGCAAAAAGAGCATTTTAGGGCACATGGTCTACAGGTTTTAAGGAAGACTGCTATATGTTAAACTTAAAACTCAAAATTAATAAAGGCTTTTTTTAAACTCTTTCATTATTTGACCTCTGAAAAAGGCATGATGTATTTTTAAGTCTTATGTACAGACCTGAACAAAGTGCGTATTTGCAGGAGCAGTGTGTGCATGCTTACTCATGCTTACTCACATTCCTGTGTGTGAGAACAATAAGTATTTGTGCACTTTCTATACTGTATGTTAAGTATAATCTGTGTAAAACCACTACACATTATTAAACGTTTCAAAGAATCCTCTGCCATAATCCATTTCACGTTACTGTTATTAGCCCTCCATAGCAGTGAAGGAATTACATATACACATAAAGTTCACACACACCCACACACACATACCTGCATACAAGGCCAGCACACAGAAAAACATGACCAGCATAGTGTAGCACATAAATAGTCCACTCTACACCTAGGAGGCATGGAGTGTTTTGTTTAATGTGTCCTGCTGAAAGAGGCTGACCTATTTGAATCATCCTTTTGTATAAATGGTTTGATCACACTCATGCATCATCCTCTTCACTATCCAGAGAAAAACAAAACAGCTTGTATTTTTCCAGCCTCTTGGGTTTAATGTGTGTAGGTGGTAGATTTTTGGACAGTCTGCAGATGAACTGTACTCTCCCCCTCAGCTATATGAACCCTGAAAAGATCAAACAGGGACTGCTTCACCAACAGTAAGTGGCGCCAGGTGGATTTGTGGTGTCTGAGTCAGATATGCTGAGAAGGATATAGAATATCCTTCTCAGCATATCATCCTTTCCACTTTTACCACATGTAATGTACTTGTCAACATCATGTAACCTGTAACATGTTGACAAGTACATCTAGTATGTTTTCTAGTTGGTTTATATCCCTTTTCAACATAGACTGGTGTCTACTTCTCAAGACATTTCATCACAACTTATGTAAATGAGTTGTGATGAAATGTGTGTGTTTATCTTGAAAGCGGATATGGACTTTTTTGTTTGCATGTGGACAAGGGCAAAGTACGGATGATGCTATCCCAGCTATCATGCACTTAAAACCTCTTAAGAACAGTAGTTTCTTATTGATAGATGAGTTTTGTATCGATATTAGCTCTGCTTTTAACACTCTGCAGCCATACCTTTTTATTCAGAAACCTAACATTTATCAAGTGGTATTCATTTTTAAGAAATTCAGCGGGTGAAGGTCAACAACAGTATGTCTCAGCTATGAAAAAACAACAGTACTGGAGCTCCACAAGGCTATGTCAACTCACCTGTTCTTTTCACACTGATACACAAATGAGTGTTCACCAAAGCACTCACAGAACTATATTTTCGAATACTCAGATGACTCTGCTATGCTAGGTTTACTTTATAGGCACGGCCAGAATCAGCTACTGCTCAGAAGTAAAACAATTTATTGATTGGTGCAACACAAGACCATCAAATGTGAAAAAAAAGGAACAGTTTAGTTCAGTCCTATGAGTATCTTGGTGTAAATATTGATTGACTTCAATCTGGAATACCCATATTGATTGGGTATGTTTTCATCCAGAAAATGTATTTTTTACATAGGCTGTGTCTATAAGGAGTTGAACAGAAATGTATGTTCTTGTTTTATCAGGCTGTTTTGGATTGTGTTATCAAATATGGAATTACTGCATGGTTTGGGAATCTTCCTGTGGCATTAAAATTGCAACAAAAACAAAAGTAATTGGTAGGAAAGATCATAATAACATTCAGTCTTTATATGAGTAGTGCGTACTTAAATCAGACAGGCGATACAGAGGTGTACACTGAATCGGTCAGAAAGAACTTCTTTGTGCCTGTGTCAGTCTAAATTGTAGCATAAATAGTAGTAGAGGTTACAGAGGCTGTACCTTTGCACATAACCACAACTAACTGTTGTCTCACAGTGGGTATTTTTGTATCTATCTATCTATGTCTTTCTCTCTTTGCACAGTGTGTGACTGTACACACAAGTAAAATTGATCAGTAGTTAAAGGTCGAGTCAATTTATTATTGCAAATCAGAAGTTCTCCAGGAGGGAATCCCAAATAAAAACAGAAGTAGTCATATTTACAATTGAGAATGTAGCAGTGCTTAAGCAAACAAAAAACAGTTTTAAAGCTGTCACTTGTTGAAAAAGTTACATATTTTGTGTGACTGCGTAGTTTTTTGTATTAATGAGAAACTGAGGGAAAAAAACACTCAACAAGAGATTCAAACAATGGTATTCCTAAAAGCCGAGACTTCGAATGTTTCATAACAACTCTGGCTTTTTTGACCAGTAAAGCTTAAAGAACATTGAGACATTAAAGAACAGATACACTTATATTTAGGATTAATTTTTGGTTACCTCCCTCTTATCTTTGACAGTAGATAGCCATCCCATGTGCAGAGAAGCCCCAATGTGGTGTCACCAGACAGAGATCAAGAAGATAAATGGAGACTTTAGAGAGTGGATTGTTTCAAGCCACCTCATATGATTGTTGGGCCTCAGGGATAAATAAATGCAACTTCATTTCCTCTGAATGCTTTTAGAGCAGAGGTTCAGGGACTAAAAGCTGACTGAGGGAGAAACTGCAGTCATACCTACACAGTCCAGAGATATGGATACAGTCTTTGTGTCAGCCTCTTGTCTGTACACTATTCCATGTTACACATTTCATAAATTAAGCTGGCACTTGCACTGGCAACTTCATCTAACAGCAGCTTTTGAGTCATTACGTATTAATTCATTACACAAAGGCAGGTCTATATTGGGAACTATACTGGCTTATTTATTGTTAACATGTAGATGGATATATTTAATGATTCAATAAGCATTATTTTTATTCCCAAATGACTGCAGATTTTGGGTTACCAAACGTCAAAGCTGTTTACTCACACTTCAATAAAATCATGCTTGAACAAAGAAGGGGTTAGTACACACACATCCCGATAAGTCTTATTATAGGGAACTCTTGAGATGCCGAGGCGTGTGGTGTGCTGTAAAGATTAAGGCTCCAAATAAAATGTTGCCGAAATTCCCTCTTGGACATTATCCCTCTCTTTGCCATATTGCTACTCTCTCTACACTTGGCTAGACTCAATTAGAACAACATTTGTAAGTATCATGTGAAGAATATTTGTAGGTATGCACATTGTTACAGCATTGTCTTTACTTATAAATACCA